AAGCACTGAAATTTTTTACTGTTCTACTGCAGAGATACAAGGCTTGAGCCTCACCTTATATATCTATATGACAAGTGAAACCTGAAATATTAAGTGAAAGTCATCACATCAGCCAGTCAGTGGCATTAAGGCTTAGTTTGTCCTAACAAGAATTGACTGACTTGAGTTGACATTTTAATATGATTTTTTCCTAGCTTATGATGGAATCTCTACATTATGATACAAATCTATAAAACATAGTATGTGGTTTATGGATGCTCATAGGTTTATAAATATGAACTGAATGCTGAAAACTAACCCACCTTTCAGATACAGAAGGTAACTTTTTTTGAAGTGACAGCCTGTAAGTTAAAGCATTAAGTTATGTGAAGGTAAGCGTATCTTCCAGTCACAAGTGTGAAAGCTTTCTTTGGAAAAGTGGATCCAGTGTGTAGTTTAGTGTCATTGCAGTTATTACTACTGAGCAACACAAAACTGGTGAGCAAATATCTGGAGTCTGTTACCTGCACTAGATCTCCACAAGAAATTAGATGCTGGTGATAGGAGCACTAGCTTCTAGCAAATTTGGGGGTTTGTTTTTGTTTTGTTTTTAAACTAAACAATTAAAAGTTACACTTCATTGAAATAAATTCCCGGACTGCTCCTTTTCCTGAAAGGGAACCACTGCAGTCATCCACAGCAGCAGACAGAACTGTTTTCAAAATCTCTCTGAAAGGTGATCCGCTGACCCATATTAGTAGAAAAATAAACACAACCTCTTGCACTGAGGAAATTCTGAAGATCCACACTTAGGTTCATAATCTTGCCATTCTCCAGCCAAAAGTAAGCTTGATGTGCAGTAACGGAGTGTTACCAAGGGGGTTCCTTGAGCTCCTGCAGAAGGAATTTGTCATGCAGACCTCATTACACTTCAGGAGCTACATTACAACAAAGCAGTGTCGCCTTCCTGGGCAGCAGAAAGCTGATAGCAAATTCATGCAAGAAGAGATTCAGGTGTATTTTTCTACTCCTAACTTTTGCCAGTCAGTGAGCATGTGAAATTGCTCTATACACCAGAGACTGTACCCCCAAAAAGATGTACATTTCCTTCTTTCTTATTTTCCCCACCTTTCCCTCTCTCACAGTAGAGTCACATAAATCACCTTTGGCACTTTCTCCCAGCTCACAAAAACTGATTTTAACTAACCTCAGCATCAGTCAACACATTCCTGACCTCCATGAAAGAACACCCGGCTTCTCAAAGGACTGAAATTGTTTTTACAGCATTCATTCAGGATTAAAACAAATAAAAAATAAAGCTCCTTTCTTCAGTCAGGAGCCTGCTAGGAATTGAAGGCTCATTCTAGTTATAAGTGGTGATGGCTCCCTCATATTAAGATACTTTATTGACTGGTTCTTGCTTGTATTTGGCAATAAACTTGTAAGTTGTATGTTCTCGAAAGTGAAATGTTTTGGTTTTTTTTTAATTTTTTTTTTTACTTCTTTGATTTTGCTGTCTGGATAGTTTGAGAGGTCTCTTTAATCTACATACATTCAAGGACATCCTCAGCAGATCTTATTTCCCACGTCTATAGGAAGCTATAATTGACCAATGCAGTAAAAGTAAAAAAAAATGGCATAGAACTTAGGAAAATAAAGTAAAATAAAGTGTGACATTTCAAAAATTATTCAAAAGATGAAAGAAATATGCCTGTATGGGATCAGATGTTCAATGAGGCACCCAGGCCATCACTCCAAATGACCTTCTGCCTTTGACGGCATCCCAAACTTCCCTAATTACACACTCCCTCCTTGCAATTACTACAGACTCCCCGCTGACCTTCTAACCTCCCTTTGCCATTTGCATCCCTGAACCCAGAGCATACTCCGAAATGTAACACAACAAAACTGCATACAGGGTGTCAGGAGCCATTAAGCAATGGTCCATGGGTACTCTGGGCTGTACATGCTCTTGGCACACTCAGAAAAAGGCTTAACTGAGGGTGAAAAGAGAAAGCAGAGTTTGAAGGGGAGAGTGCACTCAACTTGAGAAAGCCAGAAAGAAGAGAATGAACTTGGAAAGCAGGAGCGAAGCTGTGAACAAAGGCAGCACAGAGCTGGGGGAGAGATGCCTACAGGATGAAGTGAAGTAAGTACCTGGTCCAACCTCAGATCACGCAGGCACATCTTCAGAGCCATTTTTAAAATTCCATTGTTGTTTCCTGTACCTTTTTTACCTAAGTCCACATCCTTTTTTCCTCTCTAGCTTTTACAGCATTGGTCTACAGCAATCATCTTATATACACAAAGCTGGAAAATAAAATTATACCTAATAGTTTGAAGCAATTTCTCTATTTTAATTTCCATATACCAAGCTCAGTTTCAGCATTGATCCTACAAAGAGAAGGGATTTTACTTCAGATAAGTACAATACAGTGCTACTGAGTGACTAGTCTAGTCTCTACTGTCTCACTCACACTAAATAGTATCTTACCTCAGCAGCGGCTCCACTTAAATCTTTGCACATATTCATGAAGCATGGTACTGTACAATAAAAGAGCAATAACTGAGTAGCTTATCTTTGCAGGAACATTTGTTGAATGCACAAAACTACGCAGTTTTAAAAGCCTTGAGAAAAAAGAAATATTTTTACTAACTTTTGAGGGTATCCCCACCTGGGAGTAAGGAATCCATTCAAGGAAGCCAAGATCTCATAGGCAAGTTTCACCTGCCCTCTATCTCCCTCCTCCTCTCAGCTCCAGAAAAAGTTGTCTCCCCTGGCAGTCGCAGAAAAAATGTAGCATTTACTTTGAATCCATGAGGATAAGGAAGAAGATTAGGCTGAAGAGTTTGAGTCATGTTGGAGGATACTCTGTGCAGATATAGGCCACCAGCAGGCTATGACCACCTCTTCGTTCCCACACAGTCCCTCTGTGGGAAACTTCAGACAGATCCAACAAGAACTGCACCAGCACCCATGCAATGCTCTCCTACCTCCTCCGAAAACCTCACCAGCTTCATTAGCAAGGGGAAAGCAGTCACAACACTGGGTACGCTACATACCCTCTGTGTCTGACTGGGCAGAAGGTGAAGTGAGCAGCAAGAGAAGGTCCCGAGAGCACTGGGACAGCAAGAGCTTTGCTGGTGGCTCAGACCAAGCACTCTGTCAGCCAGGCAATGGCTGAGGACATGAAGTCCAGCTGCAAGCTGCAGTGGAAGTTCACAAAGGTCATCTAGGAGAGGCAAAGGCTCAGTTTAAAGGCACTGAAGGATTTCTGAGTGGAAGCATACATGATGTAGACTGTAATACACCAGCCAAGTAGGGAGAAAGAGACAAGAGAAGTGAGACGTTCAAATTACTACTGAGGAGAGGGTCTTGCACTGAAGAGTTCAAGAACTCTAAATAATAGGCAGTTGAGACAACTTTTAAATGCAGTAGGTACACATTTTTTCAGAAAAAAATATTTTGGTGCACTTATCCCTTCAAGTAATGAAAAGTGATGGTTGGCAGAGACAGAATGAAAAGAGGCAACAAAATTTATGAGAAGGTTTTAAAACAACTCCTTTTCATTCTGTGTAGAGTATGACGCTATTCTCAATGTCATGGTATATAAGCATCTACTAAAACATCAAACAACATGGAGGAAATAAAAAAGATAGTTGTGATTCCTCCTCTTTCCTACTCTCTCTGCACATTAGGAGTACAACATATTGAGGTGCTGGTATATGTTTGCATTGGGTTTTGTATAATCCAGACAAGAACCAATGGCAGCTACTCTTAAAGGAAGATATATAGACAAAACTTTGATTAATACAGAATTACTGTTTTCGAACGCTTGTTTCTCAAGTAATTTCCAAGGACGAGCCCAAGCCTACAGGCCTTATCTCGAAGACAAGGTGCCAAGTATTCACATACCCAAGAATAAGCACTAGCCAACAGAGGTGTCTCTCTCAGGTACCAATTATTTCTGATCCTTTCTTCCATCATATGTGACACCTTCTTTGAATTCGCATTACACCCTTCTTCATGCATCCAGCTAACTCCTATTTTTCTATGGGCTACTAGAAAGAGATCAGTATATGAAGCTGGATGTTTTCAGTTCCCAAAAATGAAAGTCTTGCACCTTCACTTTCCTGAGTGACTGCAAAAATACATGGAACAACCTCAACTTAAATTCACAGTAATATTTACAACATCATAGTCTTAAAGTGTGCATGTTCTCAGCAACTCAATAAACAGTGACGTGGGAAAGCATTAGGTATCAGCCTTCTTGTTTGTACACACAAAACTATAAAATGTAGCAACACAGTGCAACTGTTTTGACAGACAATTGTGTGATACTATTTCTTCACTATTGCTTTGGAAGACATGAGGAACGCTGTCAAGGGGTAAGAATGTATATTAATGGAGTTTTGATTTTTTCTTTTTTTTTGCTCAATTTAGTTCCCAAGAACCACTTTACAGACGCACTCCCACTGAAGTTAGTAGGAAGTTTTGCATTAACTTCTAACATAAACGTGATTAGAGAGCACTGCTGCACACCTGTTGGAACATGACACACCTCCACAGCACTGCTGAGAGAAGAGAAACAAAATTATCAACACCAGTTCTCCTCTCATCATCTCAGGTACCATTATTCCTCACTTATAACTGCACAGTATCTATAACGCTACAAACACACAACTGATGCCAACTAATGGCATCATTTTATCACAACAATAGCTTACTGTGTTTCTGTGGCATGCTTTTGATGTCCGTTATAATGCTTTTGATGTCAGGAGTTACATCAACCAACTCTATTACAGGCCAGCAACAGAGCCTTTGAAAGCAGCATTTGTACATCCCGCCAAAAAAGTATCATCATGACTGCAAGCTGCCGATGCCAAGATATTTCATGACCAACTACTTGGAATGATGCCCGACAATTTCCAGCTCAGCTCTGCAGCAAAGGCATCCCACTACATTTCTTTCAGGGAGAAGAACATGAATGGAAACAGGAGGCAGTAACCAACTTGCTTACCAAGCCACCACAGATGCTGAAGACAGCCATGTGAGTCTCCTGTGCATTGACATGCCCACGGTAGAAACAGTGGCGCAAATCAGGGGAGGACTGCTTCTGTGGGGCCCCTATGTGCACCACAGCGTACTGAGCAGCAACAAAGCTGGCTTCAGCACTGAGGTTGAGCTGGAAGACCTGCCCGTATGCACTGAGCCGGTAATGTGTCCGGAAAGCAGCGGGCTCCAGTGGTGCCTCCAAGCTCCTTTTCCTCCTGCAAAAAAAAAACGCGTGTGAGGGAAAACTTCTCCAAATTCATTCACTCGCACGGGTGTGATTATTTCGTAGGAGGAGAGCTGCTTCACCAAGGTCTCTGCAACAGAAAGCGACAGGCTCACTCTAATGCACAAGCACAGAGGCAAGCTTCACCCGCAGCCGCACGGCTCCTGACGGGGCACTCCCTGGACTACCCCGGGGTCCGGTGACAGCAGCGGGGAAGGAGGAGGATGAGAGTGGGCTGCCTCCAGCACTCCCAGGCAGATCCCACTCCGGCCTTCCTCCGCCTGGGCCCCACCACCCGCACCGCGGGGCGCCTCCCGTCCCCGTTGGGCA